TATTTAGATTCCTTTAACTTCAACATCTTCCCCCCTCTTTTTTTTTTTCTTTTTTTTTTTTGGTCTGTAGGTTTTGGATTTCTTGATCACTTGAGATTATGAGATCACTTCCTACGCTGGTAGAATGTCCTACTCTGAAGAATGTCCTTTAGAAAGTTAGTGGGGCGTGGTGGTACATGACTTTAATTCCAGCACTCAGGAGATAAAGGCAGGCAGATCTCTGTGAGACTGAGGCCAGCCTGGTCTATATAGCAAGTTCCAGGCCAGATAGGACTATAGAGAGACCTGTTTCAAACAAACAAACAAACAAACAAACAAACAAACCCCACAAAAACCAAATCCAAAACCCAAAACAATGTCTCTGGCCAGCGGTATACCAAATCCACCAAATACTTTCCCCAGCCAGGATCTCCATACAGACAGGAAGCCCCTTCAATTGCTGGTCAGCTCTACTGTAACCTAAATCTCCTGCCCATAAACATTGCCATTATTGGTTCTGGTATAAGAGCCCCAAGCCCTTCCACTTGCCCACAGCCTTACTCACCCGGATCTCCTGATTGAAAGAAGAAGATGATGGCACGAACACTGTGAAGGGACCTGGCCCAGCCAGCTCTCGGACAGCGTGCTCCTGTGGGAAGGGAGGTGAGGCTACATGTCACCCTTTCACAGATACAGCTCAGAGGCTTCCTCTCAGACACACAGGTCATGGTTCAAGGAAAAGCCAAATTGCTGGGGTTATTTATGTCTTGGACTCAAAGTAAGCCCAGATGCTATGCTATCAAAGCCATGTTTTTTTTCTAATTATAAAATTAACATATGGCTATATTAAAGGTTTTGAACATAAAGTACAAAGAAGATAACAACTGCTCCACTAATCCAGCTAAGACAGTTATTATTTTCTGGTTTTCCTTTCCTGTGTCTCTTCTCTGAATGACAAGTGTATATAATTGGGACAATCATATGAAAATTAAAAAAGCAAGATGATTCACAAACTGTTATAATTGTTTTCTTGCACTTCTTCTAAGACCACATGGCTGCTATGGTGGTCTTCCAGTTTTCTGTATTTTGTCCTTTAATATATCTGGAGCTCATGTGGCTGATGTACAGAAGTACCAACCCCATGTTTTCACCTAAGAGTTGTCCCATTGTGATACTTAATCTTGGCTGTGGATTGGTCAGATTAAGAACTGCCCAGGAAATTCCTGAATCACATCTCCTGGTGGGCCTGGAAGGGTGTTTTCAGAGATGCTGAGGTTGTGGGGCTCTGGTATAATGAATGATTTCTCCCTCATGAATTCATGATATGATGGCATTGTTGACAGGCAATGGAAGTAGTTCAGGCTAACAGAGGAAGTCAGGCCAGGAGCATCCCTGATGGCTGACCTTGTCCTGCTTCTTCCTGTATGCCCAGCTGTTTTCTCTGCTTCTTGTTTCCATGACAAAGCTCCTTGGCTACATGTTCCTGACACTATGATATTCTGCTTCCTAATGGCCCAGAAACATGGAGCCAAGTGACTGTGGGCTGAGCCCTCTGAAACTGTAAGCAAAACAAAGCTTTCCTCCTTCAAGTTGTTTCTGTTAGCTATCAGGCTATAGCTAGGAAAAAATAACTAGTATGCCCAGCAATGCATCTTTCTCCACTAGTGTGATGGGAGGTTTATCATACACAGTCACATGCCATTTAACTTTGAGATATGTTCTGAGAAATGCATCCTTAGGCAATTTTTTGTCATTGTGTGAACATCCTACTCTTTGGTGATTCACATGGAGCACCTTCTGGTCTTGCAGCCCCATTCATGGTAAGTACCCTGTATAGTGTACCCCTTCTTAATCTTTCATATTTTCACTGCACCTTTTCTATGTTTAGATATGGTGAGATTCATAGACGCTAATACTGCCTACTGTATTCAGTAGAGTAACACGCTGTACTGGTTTGTAGCCAGGAAACTTTAAACTGTGCTACCTAGTGTGTGGCAGGCTCAACATCTGGATTCTTCTCACATCCTTTTTTCTTTTTTAGAGCTTTTGAGACAGCATCTCAGTAAGTAGTATAGGCTACCCTTGAATTCACTTTATCTGTCCAGCTGGCTTTGAACCTGTAGCAATTCTTCTGCCTTAGCTTTCTGAGTAAGGGATTATAGGCATCTATCACCACACCTGGCTCTAGCCTATATTCTTATTCTATAAGGTTTTTAAAAAATTTTTACTCTTTAAGCATTTTATTTGCTAAGAATGCAGATACAAACATATAGGTGTGTTCACACTATCCTCACTCTAAGAGTGTGAGCAATGTTGCACAGTGGTGCTATGATATCACTGGGCAATGTAAACAAAGACTGTGAGGTCACTAGATGATAAGTTGTCAGTTCCATTATAATTTTGGAGGGTCATCACTGTATGGTGTATCATGGGCAGGAATGTAATGTCATACATAACTGATTAAATTCCTATGTATATGGAGCCATACAGCCTTGAGTCCCACTCTTAAGAACTATGCTTTCCTATGTTTAGACATGATAAAAGTTATAAATACTAACCACTGTATAATAATTACAACCGAGGTCTGAGAGATGAAGCCCCCAATGACCAACACCTGAGCCCATGCCAAAATCTGGAGTTCTAGACTTTCTTCTAGCCTCCAAGTTTGGGGGCTACAGTTTTGTATTTGGCTTGAGACCTGGCATGCATCTATCTATCATCTATCTATCTATCTATCTATCTATCTATCTATCTATCTATCTATCTATCTTCTATCTACCTACCTACCTATCCATCCATCCATCCTATAAATCATATATGTTTATGTACATCATTTAATAAAAACACACATACATATATTTACATGCTAGTGCATGTAAAGTGCAAGTGCTATCTCACTGAGCTATACTCCTCCTGGTCCCCAACTCTCAGAACTAGACAGACACACATTTTCTTACTTGCAACTGGAAGAAATACTGAGAAGTTTGGGGGTCTTTCGGAAGTTCCTGCAAAGACAGGGAGATTTCATTTGATTGTGAATTGCATATAAGAAGAATGCAGAATTGTACTGGGATGATTTGTCTGAGGTTGGACAGATCCCACATTCCCTCTCCTGAGGAAAACCAACACGCCAGCTCTTTGGAACCTCGCTAAGGAGCTTATAGTTGGTGCTCAGAGGGACTGTGTGGGCACACTGATTTCCAGCACCTTTTTGGAATATCCATCTGATTTACAAAAGAAGGTCTAGCTATTTCTAAAAACATTTGAGCTTTAAGAGCACTTCAAAATGAAGCTCAGATATTTATATAAACATGACAAGGACAGTTATTATAGTTTATGGCATATTTGGGTTATCTAACAACAAGAATATCTGATCATCCAGAATGTTCTGGCCCCTCTTTAAGCCAGTATTATGAGTGTTTATAACATGTAGGAACCTGCAAGTGTCATATCACCGCTTCCTCTGTCTGTAGTGTAGGTACATGGAGGCACATAGAACACGCACACACAGATACTCAGACCACAAATATACCACATACCATACAGTACAAATATACCACATATCACCTATATGCACACAATATTTATATCACATACCATACACCATTATTATGTATACCACACCAACACATGCCACACACCACAAACATACACCATACACATCACACCCCATATACTATACCATACACATACCACATACAGACACCACATACCACACACTTATCACATAACACATCCTTATATACTATACCCCCCCACACTATACACACATACCACACCACAGGTACCACACACCACACCCATACCACATACAGCACACAGACCACGCACATACACAGACCAATTCAAATTATAGCAATGCTTTGGCACTGTTGTGTGGGACAGTTGTGTCGTCGTCCTCGTCATTGTCCTCCTCCTCCTCCTCCTCCTCCTCCTCCTCATCATCATCATCATTATCATTTCCCAGATTCAAAGAGTGATGTGTGGAAAAGTGGCTTCGCCTACTTAGTTGCAGTACTGCTCCCTGGCAGTGCTGAATCCAAACCCAGGGATTCTGACTCCAGAAGTGTGTATCCATCTTAATCATGACACCACTCCCTTTCCCAGGTCAAATGAACTCTGTTGGGTAAAAGCTCCTTTCATTGTCAACCTAAGAAGGCAGCCTCATGTTTTACAAAGCTCTGGCATGTGCCATAGCAACCTGGACTCTCCGCAGTTAGGGAAGTGAACTTTACTTCCTGGAGAAGTGTGTTGTTACCCGGTAGATGCTGCCTCGGCAGGTGAATCCGTCTCCGGTGTAGTTCAGCTTGCAGGTGCACGTCCTTTCATCTTGTCCGGTGTGAGTGCAGACAGCAAACGGACTGCAGCCACCATTATTCTGGTAAAAATCGCCAAGAGGTGGAAGAGGAGCTCAGTCAGACCAGTTAGTTGTCAGCTTTGCCAATATTTGCCAAGCAGTTCTGCACTGAAATTTATTTTTTTTTAGTGATATTTTTCTGGAATGTGCAAGGCCCTGGGTTCAATCCCTAGCAATACCACATACACACACACACACACACACACACACACACACACACACTCACTCGCTTTTTTTTTGTCTTACTCCCTAATCTGAGGCTGAAGAACTGCACCCATCCCCAAACATGGCCAGGTCTTTTAAGCCTCAGGTCACCTGTAACTGTGACCTTATTTAAGTAAGAGTCTATAGACATCATTAAAGCTCTTGAGATGACTTTTTTGTTTTTTAAATCTACAAGATCCTGTATAAGAGCAGAAGACAGACACAGAGGGAAGAGAGACACAGAGACGGTAGTGTGCAGCCAGGCCAGGAATGCTGAAGCCACCAGAAGCTGGAAGAGCAAGGAAGGGTTCTGCCCCAGAGGCTTCAGAGCAAGCATCCTTGCTGACACCGAATTTTAGATTTTTGGGCCCTCCAAAATTGTATATAAATTTCTGTACCTGCAGTAAATTTTACAACAGTCCCAGTGGGATAGTTAGTTTTAATTGATAATATGATACAATCTAGGATCACCTGGGAAGGGAGTCTTAATGAGGAATTTTCTAGATCAGGCTGGCCTGCCTTGGAGATTATCTTGATTAAGTCAGTTGAGGTTGAAAGACCCACCCACTGTGGGTGACACCATTCCCTAGGCAGGAAAGCATGAATTAATTGCTATGCTTTGTTCTTGACTCTGGGTGGAATGTGACTAGTTCTCCTAAGCTCCTGCTACTGTGACTTCCCTATAAGGATAGACTAACCTAGAATTGTGAACCAAATAAACCCCTTCTCTACTTTGTCAGGGTATTTTATTGCAGCATCAGAAAAGGAGACTAAGATAACCTAAATGCACACTGAAGTTTTTGTATCAGCAAATTGGGTTAATTAGTCCTTGTCACAACAAGTATCAGAGAAATTAAATATGAGAAAGCATGGGAAGCCAGGGCACAGGATCTGACCTCTTGAGAGCAGTAAATACAAAATGTCACATAGACACAGGATGCCAGAGGTCTGGCTAACCACATGAAGTGCCCCAGATATGACAAGCCTGTGACATGCAGGCTTATGGAACTTCTTAACCCACTGAAAATATGGGCTTGGGGTTAGGAGGCTCTAAGCAGTATTGCATAGCTTGTCCAGTTTCAGACTCAGTGAACAATTGCCAAATCAGTTCCTATTAGGTTGGTATAACATGAAGCTAGCCTGCAGTCAAAGGTCATAGAGAATCAGAAGACATACTGTGGTGGAGGGCTGCTCCTATCAGGATCACCATGAGGGTAGTGATGAGCAGTGTATCAACAGTGTACTGAAGATGGAGGGAGCAAGTAAAAAGCTAGGCTATCAGTGCAGAAAAGGATGCCAGGGGCAACCTTCTAAGGAAATGGAGGTCCCAAGAAGCAAATCAGTCCACAGCCTTAAATCATTTAGATGACTGGAGCTGGGCAGAGGTGCCTCTGGCCCTCACATCAACTCCTGCTCAGCGGCAGGGGCCTAGAATAGGATTCTCTGTTCTAAGCCTGCAGAATGGTGGTGGTGTGCACAGGAGGAAGCACCTCCCTTTCTTAGTCTGGCTGCTACTGGAAGGCACTAGCTTTTGGAATGCTGCACCACGTGGTTGGTTCACAGAGCACTCACTGTGATTTCCTACCAACAAAATACAGGAGAATAAGGAGCGGGAGGGTTTCCAGGAAACTTGAGCCTTGGCTCAGATGTGAAAGTCATGCTTGGTGGAAAGGAATTTCCTTGATAAGCAAGTGAGGATAGAGCTGATGTAATATGTTCTGGCTGAGCTGTGGAAATGTGATTGGCATGTTTATGCAGAGGCCAAGAAGTTCATGCTGCTGGGTCCTGCAGTCTCTTCAGATTTCTACTGATGAAGGACAAGCATATCTAAGTAGGACCTGTTTAAGAAACGTGTTATCTTGGGCATGTTCCTCTTGCAGCACAGGTGATTGCTTAAGCTGGAAAGAAATGATAAACCTAGAATAGAAGCAGCAATGCTCAGGTGTGTGTGCACGTGTGTGCACAAAGATAGGGGAACTGACAGCTGGATTCTATATGAATCTTAGGTTGGTTTTTAAAAAGTAATAGATTATTATGGAGATGTTTTAGGTTTGCAGAAAAGCCGATGGAAAGTGCAGACATTCCTGTACAGACTCCCCTACTCCTCTGTTCTCCCCTATCTGTAACACCTTGCACTTGTCGGTCAGTACGTTGTTGATATTCAAGTCCAGAGTTTGCCTGAGGGTTCACTCTTGCTGGTGTATATGCTATAGATCTTGACAGTTGCATGGCATATGCCCATCATCAACAACTTCATAGAACGGATTCATTGTCCTGAGAATCCTTTGTGTTCTCCTTCCTCATCTCCTCCTCCTTCAGCCCTTGGCAACCACTGATTGATCTTACTGCCCTGTGGTTTTTCCTTTCTCAGAACATAACATTTTGTACTCTCCAATGTTAGTTTTAACTGACCTTCTCTTCTTCCCCATTAGGTACACAAAGAATAAACAAAACCAAATCCAGGCAACTGACGTTAGTATTCAGTTACTGTGGTTAGGGAACCAGATTGCAAACAGGATATTAAAGTTTGTTAGTCGACTCATGAGGGCTTTGTAGCTCAACCTGGTCTTTGGGAAACTAGTAACCCAGCTGGCTCTGGGGCACTTGCATTTAGGTGAATCTCTGACCAGTTATGTGTACCTGGGTCCAGGCAAGTCTTGCAGTCAAGGGGGCAGGCTGTGGAATAAGACTGCTCTCTCCATTCTCCCCAACATGACAGTGGCACAGAAACAGAAAAATGAACCTCATCACCCAGAATAGGCTCTGAGACTGCGAGGGATCACTTGGCCTCTGCATCCCTTGGAAGGTGGGGAGAAGGCTCTGAGGCCATGCATTGGAGGAGAACTCACGGTTAAGCAGACATTGATGAGCGTGCAGACCTTCCCATCTCCAGTGTACTTCGGCAAGCAGTTACAGACAGCCTGTCCAGAAGCAGAGGCAAACGGTCATTTCATAGACAGGTCTATCCTGGCCCCATGTACTGGCTCTCAGACGTGACTTTGATTAGAGAAGAGCAACTTGACAAGGAACTGCATCTATCATTTCTACCTCTTAGGACATTAGCGCTTCACTAATGTGCTGGATTTCATGGACATCTCACCTTTGCTGACAAGATGGCTTTCTCTTTTTTCATGGGTGGAGGTTCAGGGGAAAGGAAACTAAGCTGCAGTCTACGCACGCCCTCTTCATGCTCATCTCCACCAAGGCTGAGCCCCAGGCATCAGTGTTTGTAGTTGCCGAGGGGTAAGCTCTGCAGCCCACTGGGGTACACATAGGAAAACAAGCAGCTAAACCCATTGGGTGGACACAGACGCCAGCAAGGAGCTTCCACATAAGGGAGCAGACACTATGTGCAGGACGTTGCAGAGGACCCCACCGCCATATACACTCTGCTTAGACATGTCTAGACACAGGGATGAAAGCCAGCCTGGGCTCTGCTCACTGGCTGAGAGCCTAGGGGAGGGGTATCTACTCTGCATGTGTCCTCCCAAGAACCTCCAAGAACCTCCTACCCAGCAGCAGAGGCCTTAGTCTGATGTCTACTTGCTAGAACTTGAACCTATGGGTGGGGCCAGACAGGGTCATCTAGGCAGGCTTTTCACTTTCTCCTCCACTCCCTTCACCAAGGGCCTCAACTTCAGTGGAAACCTTTACCGAAAGGCCCATCAGCTGTTTCTTCTCAGTTGAAGGCTTATTCTCAGAGCTCAGTTCCCAATCACTTCTTCCAGGTCTGTAAGGGCACTGTTAACAGGCCTTGAGTACCAGAAAGCTTAAAGTTTAATTCCCTCATCCCATGTGTAACTGCAAAGAAAAACTCTACGGAGCTACCAAAATAAGAAAAGGAAAGCCCGACACAGACTACTCAGACTTCCTCATGATTAAATGGGCACGCACACACACACAAACACACACACACACACATACACACACATACACACACATACATACATACATACATACATACACACACATACACACACACACACCACACACACACCACACACACATACACACACATACACACCCCCCCACATACACACACACACATACACACATACACACACATACATATACACACACACACCCCACACATATACACCCACCCCACACATATACATACACACACATACACACATATACACACATATACACACACATACACACAGATATACACACATACACACACATATACATACACACACATACACACACATATACACACACACCACACATATACATACACACACATACACACACACATACACATATATACACACACATACACACACACATACACACACACACACACATACACACACGCCCCCCCTGCACATACACACACACATACACCCCCCCACATACACCCCCCCACATACACACACACCACACACATATACACACACATACACACACATATACATACACACACACATACACACACACACCCCACAGACATACACACACACATACACACACACATACACAGACATACACACATACACATACACACACACATACACAGACATACACACATACACATACACACACACATACACAGACATACACACATACACATACACACACACATACACAGACATACACACATACACATACACACACACATACACAGACATACACACATACACATACACACACACATACACAGACATACACACATACACATACACACACACATACACACATACACACATACACATACACACACACACCCCACAGACATATTCTCCCAAGGTTTCTTTTTTTTTTTTTTTTTTAAATTTTTGGAGTTTCAGGTACTTGTTTGATCTGCCCACCAAGGGATGTAGCACTGAAGTCAATGGCTCAGCAAACTCCACAGGACATTCACAATGGACTTGGCTCTGTTACCGTGTCAGATGTATGTATGAACTGTCCTGTCTAGCCTTTTTGTGTGTTTACTATGTGCCTGAGCTTGAAGGAGGCAGAGTGTAGGCCTTTGCTCCTCCAGTTTGCTCCCTGTATCCTTTTGCCCCACAACTTCTGCTCTGATGTGGGGGTCCTGCTACTTTTCCCACTCTTCCAAACTCCCTCTCCCCAGGGAAGCTACACAACTCTGTGCTGGGAACCTTATCACTGGCAGAGGTCAGATTGTGAGCTTCAAATCTTGGAGTCAAGAAAAATTGGGAAGGATTGTGGCACTAGGAAGCTGAAAGAAAGGGGGAGGATTTTTGGAGACCCTTGTAGATGCTTCTGGGATCACACGGGGTTTATGGATGAGGCCCCTCCCCACTTTCAGGAAACCCCTTTCCTGGTCCTGTTTGTCCCCCTCTTCTCTTCTTTCCTCAAGAATGGTCTCTTGGCCTTTCTTTTTTTGTGCTACTGTATTTCTGGCTGCAGTTGGACCAAGGTCTGTTCTCTATTTTCCTTTTCGCCTGCGTCTCAAGACTCCGGAGTTTTCTCCCAGGAAACCTAAAGGAGGTAAGCTCACCTGATTGGGCCCTGTCTGCGTGCACTCTGCATTCCTGTCACAGCCACCATGGTTCTCCAAACATGGGTTTATTTCTTAAAAACAAAAGTTAACACCTGTCATGAGCATCAAGCCTTATTTCCACGAAAAAGCATATTGAGGGATTCCCTAGGGGCTTGAAGTGGCTTGACTAACTGCCAAAGAGCAGCAGGTGTCACAATGTGATTCATTTTTCTGCCAATCCAAAGGCAAAAAACGTAACCCAGAGGGGAGGAGTCGTTTTCTCAAAACTGTTCCCCCCATATTGGGTTAATTCTGTGAAATGAATATGAGAGCTTCCAAGACTTGGAATCAGAATCTTAGAGTCCACCAAAGCCACAATCATTTGCAAACATTATAGTATAGTCTCATCAACAGATGCTCAATTTAGGAAGACAGTCTGATGAAGAGCAAGAAGATATCTGCTTGACGTTAAAGTTTCTCTCCACTGATTGCTTATTAGAAGCATAGGGGAAAATAAGCATGCAGTGGAGAACTCAGCACTTTGACGGAGTGGTCAAAATTCACATTGTAAATGAGGGTCTGATGGAAATCTTGTCACATTTTGGTGTGACATCCTGCAAAGGATGCAACATCATTTTTGTGACATTTGGGCCTGGAATATACAACTTGAATCTAATATGGAAAAACCCCAAGCACTAGATAAAGAACATGCTGTCAAAAGAACCAAGAAGTTGGGGTGTTAAGAGTGTATTCTTCCTAAATGTCAATGACATAAGAGACAAAGTAAGGCCTAGAACCTGTGCCAGAACAAGAGCAACTAAAGAGATGACACTAAATGCAATATCCAACCGTCAAAGACCCCGCACTAGAGGAATCTGGGGACATTTGACAAAATTAGAATATGAATGCACTTAGAAAAGGTATTATATTAATAATTGATTTATTGATGTTAATAACTGTGCTGTTTATGTAAGAAACAGCTCCTATTCTTAGGAAACACATAGTTATTAGTGATAAATGGAACATGGCATATATAGCTTAGTCTTAAATGGCTAAGAGAAAATTTGAGTATGTACAAAGGAATCAAGTGAGAAAGTCAACAGGATAGACTGCTAATAAGTGAAAGTGGGAAAAGAGCAAGGAGTCTTATCAGTACCGTTGTTGCAACTCTTCTTTGCAAATTCTTTCAATCAAAAAGTTAAAATCCAGTCGGCTTTCTGGGATTATCTTTATAGTGGAGCTGTGTGTTGTCACTAGAATAATGACTTAGAGGTACACTTCTTTTCCAGGAGCTATTCTGTTACCTTGACACACACAAACACTATGTGTATCATAAGACTCTTTTTTTGGTTAAAAATACACAGGTAGATAACAGAATGAGGTAACAGAGAAGTAAGAAGCACCTGTTTCTAGGATTTCCCCTCACCCTTCTGCAATTTTTCTACAGCAGGGTGTGCTGCAGTACAAACCAATGAAAGTTTAAAACTCCAGCTACCGTTATAATTCCTAAAAACAGAAGTTTTTCTTTCTCCAGTCAATGTGAGTTTTGCCCATTTTTCCAGTCTGTGAATTCATACCCAGAGAAATCTGGGTATACAAACTTGACTCATAGGCCTTAACATATATGATAGAATGCATGAAATCTGATGGGTAGGCTAAGGGAGTGCTGCAGATAGGGGAGGGGGCTTCAATATGATTAAGATATATTGTATGAAATCCACAAAAATTCAATTAAAAATATACATTGAAAACCAAAACAAAGCAAAGTGAGTTTTGTGTATCACATACCTTTACGCCTTGTGGTCACATCAGTTTCACACTCTTGGGCTTTCCTGCCAAGGCACTACATGAGGATCCCAGCAGCAGCCCTAACAATAAGAGCCCCCACACTAAAGCCACATTTAACAGGGTCTGACTCTCACACCAGATGGATGAGGGATGGTCACCTACCAAGGCACACGATGCCATCACCTGTGTAGCCTGCCTTGCACACACACACCCGGCTTCCTGGCGTAGTTCTTTTACAGTCAGCCTTAGCAGAGCAGCCTCCATTACTGATCTCACAGGCATTGATGGCTGTAGAAGGGAGGGAGAGGGGAAAGCAATCTTTTTACTTAGGTCATTGAGAAAAGGAAGTGTCTAGAACAACTCTGGCAGTCACTGGATTAATGCAGATAAACTTCCAACACAGAGGGCAAGAAAAAACATTCACTATTTGTCTTTTCTGGCTGTTTTTACTAGCAGACTCTATACTTCCTTCTTCAGGGTACATCTAGCCTCAGGGTCAGGGAATCTGGCATCCTGTGAGACTCCCCAGGGTAAGGTGGCCTAGAGCAGACTGGAGCTATCACTATCCCGTTCTGCCTCTACCTAGACCAAAGCCCCTAAGGACAAGCCCCTAGCTCAAGAGAAAAATGATGCTAAGAGTTTCTGTTTGTATTCCTTTTGTGTCTGTAAGTATTCATAGATGTTTTACTCAAAATAGTGAAAATCTGGAAACACTAACCGAATGGTAAATGGATGTAACAATGGTGGTATATCTACAGAGTACCTCAGCCATAAAAAGGGGTGATCACATAGATGAATCTCCATGACAGTGAATGAAAAAAGTCAGGCACACCGGGGTCCATGATTCCATCTATATGGTGGGTGCCTGTATTTGTCATATCTCATCAGATTATTTACTTAGAATGAATCAGTTTAGTATCTATAAATCACAGCTCAGAAGGGTTTATTAAACAAAATGAAAGAAAACTCTGGCACTAGAGACAAAGCAAGTGTCTCCTTCTCTCCTCTCTCCATGAGTTTGGACTGAGGGTGCGCTAAAACATTCCCACCTCTGTGTTCTCTCACACGTGGAGGAAGTGTGATGGTTTTAAGTGCCTCTCTCCATCTCATTGGAAGTGTACGGAGAGCAGCAGAGGTTCTCCTGGGGCTCTCACGTCACACTGCACGCTATTTCAGCACGGCTGAGCCTTCTTCGCTGCTTTTTAGTGGCTTGCTCAGGAAGGAGAGGACTACAAATGAATTACTTTGCCAGAAAATGCCAACAAAATTGAAAGAGTCCTCTGAAAATTCCAATAAAATTTTTACTAATTCTCCTCCATGACAGGTAAAAAGTTGGCGGAGAGTGAGCGAATGGAGGAGGAGGCACCAGGACACAGATAAAACTACATCAAAATAGGGTTTATTAGCAAAAGAACACATGGGACAGATTCCCTTCTGGGCAGGGAAAATGTCTGCCCGGGTCTTGAGCTGGGGTCTTTTAAAAAGGGAGTCTTCTGCTTCCTGCAGAAGGTGGGAAGATGTATTTTCTTTTAAAGTTGGGTTGGGGGGAGTGGGAGAGAAGGACTGTTAAAACCTGTCCTCTTTAGAGATCAAAGGGGAAGCCTGCTGTATTGGCCAAACAGTGGAGAAAAGTCTGTTTCTCTTGCCTTCAAAGATGAAGGTGCTTATCAGCTTGGTTCCCTTTTCTCAGGAGCTTGAGAAGTGTTTGAGATCCTGTTGGTGAGGGGGCAGGGCTATCTGAACCTTAACACTTAATATTTATCAAGATAACTTGATTTTGTTGCGTTGTGAAAAAGCATTAGACATTGAGTGTTTAGTCAATCACAAATACTGAAAATGATGTAATTATTGTATGGAATTCCTGTACCACTGGGAAGATGTTTCTGAATTTCTTTCCCCCAGGCCCCTTGTTTGTGAAGCTTAGGCTGATCTCAAACTCCAGATTCTTCTGCCTCAGTCTCCCAGGTGCTAGGATTACAGGTGTAATTACTTGACTAGATTTAAATGTGAACTTCTCTTTTTAAAAATATTTTATTTATTTTTAAATATTTTATTTATTATTTTTTACATATATGAGTGTATTGCCTGCATGTGTGTAAGTATACCCATTATTTTTTTACGTATATGAGTGTATTGCCTGCATGTGTGTAAGTATACCCATGTCATGTAACGCCCATGGAGGTCAGAAGAGGGAACTGGAGTTATAAATGGTTGTTAGCTGCCATGTGGGCGCTGGGAATCAAACCTGGGTCCCCTGAAAGAGCAGCCAGTGCTCTTAGCCACTGAGCCATCTCTCCTGACCCCAACTTCTTTTTCTTATCTGAGCTTGTCTTTCTCAGAATAGATTAAAATTCTTGACTGTGTTTATGTGCATGTATGTGTGTGTGTGTGTGTGTGTGTGTGTGTGTGTGTGTCTGTTCATGTATGAGTGCATGTGTATGGAGACTAAAGGTCAATCTCAAGTGTGGTTCCTCACCTTTTAAAAAATGACTTTTATTAAACTTTTTACCTGTGTAATAATGCATTCTGATTACTGACCCTGTACATATTCTCTCCTATCTCTCTCCCACCCCTGTTAACCCCCACCCCTCACAAGTCCTTTTCCACATTCATGTCTTTTTGTTTTGTGACCCACTGAGTTTAACCTGTGTGACCATGGGTTTGAAACTGTCCTTTGGAGGCTGGCGGGCTCACTAGTGGGTATACAACTGAGGACAATGACCACCCCTTCTCCATAATCCCTGAGTAGGTAATAATTCAGCAGGAAGGGGAGCATTTCCCTGTGAGTCCCTTCTCAAGAAATAATTGACTGGCATCAGATCCAGTCTTGCGCAGGCCCAGTGGAGGCAGCCACTGTGAGATCATGACTTCAGTGGCTGGGAGACGCCCAGAAGATAGCATTTTGCAGCCCTTCTCCCTAACATTGGGCTCTTACATTCTTTCTACCCTCTGGGGGGTGGTATGAGCTTGCTGTTTAGGGCTGAGCATTTAGTCATCACTTATTCTCAGCACCTTGAGCAGCCCTGAGTCTCTGAATTCACCACTGTTCCTCGCAGAGAGAAGCTTCTCCCATTAAGGCTAAGAGTAGCATTTGTTCTGGTGCCAGGCAGTGGAGAGATTGCGGAGTTTCTGGTTTTCTAGTACTAAATATGTGTTAGGCACCCTAAGAATACTAGTTCACATTTCCTAACACTTTACAGGTGTTAATTGGGGTTACATACTGTCGCCCAATGGATGATTCTCTATTACCCTCAACTTGCAGACTAAGGAATGGCAAAGAGAATAGTCAAGGAACATTCCCGAGTAACACAGACTGTTGAGTATTTCAGCTGAGGGTCTAATGAGGAGGTGAGGGTCTGACACCTGCCCTATTCTGCCATTGTACTCAGAGAGGTCATTTTGCCCTAACAGCAGTCTGCAAGGAAGGCAGATTCAGGCTTACTTTACAAATGAGCTAAGCGGGGATCAGAGTAGTTAAAACAACCATTCGAAGCCGTAAGGGCAGTAGGAGGAAGAACCAGGGCTTAAAAACCTCTTCCTGGCCTGTTCCTGAATCTGGATGACTCAGCCCTTGCCAATCAAATCTAGGACTTTGAAAGCCACCAGGTGATTCTGGTTGCTCTCAAGATTGGGAACCACTGCTAGCGTGCACTGTGGTTGCATGGGGAAAACAGGTGCAGTTGCCTCAGCTGTGAAGAGCCGGGCACCTTCCTATCCCTGGGTGCCATAAATTGCTTAGTTATATATGCACATTGCCACCAATGGCCAGCACCAGTTACTGAGGCCCATTCAGGCTTAGCAACACAGATCTCTCAATAGCCCATGAGATCCCTTCTTTGCTTGCCTGTGCAGACTGTTCCGTTCCCTTGGAATCCTGCTGCACATTTGCACAAGGCTTTGCCATCTGGATCGAGAAGGCAGCTGCAATGAGAAAGGGAAAATGGCATTTTCAGAAAAACACAGTGCTCCCCACATGACTTGCAATCCCCCTTCAGCCCTAGTACCCAGGTCCCTAACTCCATGACATTCTGCTATGGCTTGGGAAGGACACTCTGTTCTTGGCAGCACCCCACTTACAGACAGAGTGTGCACATGTAGAAGTTAGCCAAGGAATAAGAAGGGTAGTTCCCAGTCTCCAGAGAGCGACCCAAGTACTTAGCTGAACTTTGGGCTTTACTTCATGCTATCTAGGTATGATTCAATAGTCCCTGAAAGTAGTGTAATTATTACTGCCATTTGTAAATGAAGACACTGAGGCTCAAAGGAAGTAAAAAATGACTCCAGGTTGTGCAGTGACTGAATGTGACTGAGGCTGACTTTGAGTTCAAGTCTAACTCTAGGTGCTGGGCTCTTAATTAATTCACTAGCAATGTGGTAGTTTGGAGGATGTGCCCTATGGAATTAAGAATATGAAGCTACGTAAGGCTGGGCTGCGGATTGGGAGTAAGGTTTACTAAAACTAAAGCCCCTCCATGACAGAGTCCTGGTGGTATGGACCAGGGTGACCACTGGCATTCTTGTCAATGTGCTAAGTAAGTCAATGGTAGCTTGTTGACTAGGCCGGATCTGGCCAATCGAAGGTGGTTTCTTCAGAGATATGTTCAGTTTCTTCTTCAAATTTATCCTAAACCCTCACAAATGATGCCAGGAAACCACTTCTCTGAGGGTAAGGCCTGGGGTGAAAACTACTGAGAAAGAATTCCTTTTGCATTGTCCTCAAAGGAAGTTGGAGGGTACCTACTTGGCGCTGGTGTGGCATGTCCCGTTGCAGTTGTCTTTGGTGATCTCTGAAAAGAGGAGCAGTTGTTCTTTGTGAATTCTCATTTGAAAGCTTCTTTTTAGTACCCGGTACTAGGAAAAAACTGAATTCCTTGGAAGTATCTGTATTTATTATGCTGTGTGTAAATCCATGAGATCATGTAGATGCTTTTTTTTTTTTTTAAATCACATTGGCTATCAGGGAGCTCAGAGAGAAATCTGAAAATGCCTTCCACTCTAAGCTCTTCTCACTCAGCTCACCTCTTTGACTCTGTTCTCCTCACATCCTGCAATCCTTTGGTTCTCTAAATGCAGATTTCTTTTCCTGTGTCTTTGAAGCTATTTCATGTTCTGGTTTCTGCTAGGAACTGTCTTTCCATTCATCACTCTCACTTGAAGTAAGCTAGAAGCATCAGTGCAGTGTATTGAGACTGGAGAAAATGGGCTTCTTCCTCAGACCCTGGACTGTGGGAGGATACTGTGGCTTCTGGCAGGTCACTTGGCAATGAGCAGCAAGCCCCCCCCCCCGCCCCGCCCCGAGAATGCCAGCTCCTGACTCACACACCCCATTTCAGGCTTAGCACATGGGTTAATAAGACAAGTGCAGAAAGAGGCACGAATGTAAATAAGCTTGCTGTGACTTTGTTTATGGTAGCAGAAAATTGGTTTTAAAAAGAATAATCAGGGTGGGGATGTAGCTCAGTGCCAGATGGCATGCATGAAGCATCCATTCAGTCACCAGCACTGCAGCAAACAAGCCCCACAAAACAGAGTTCAGTTTTATAATAAAGCATTAGTACGGCTATTTCTCTGTATTTATTCACATGGAGGGAAAATGCCCATTGTTTATTGTGAAATGACAAAGGACGTTATAAAGCAGCGTGTAGCATGGTCCACTACACTTACGGGTCTATACTAACCCAATACAGAACATCACTAATAGGATTTTCCAGCCATGGGTGTATGAATAATTTTTGCTCTTTGTGTGTTTTCTTTATTTTGCAAACATTTTGTTTAAAAACATTTTTGACAGAAGAAACAATAGTGGTCTTGTTACTATTTCAGTGAAGCGAAAGGAAAAAAAAAGCCTTTTCTGAGAAGCTGGGTTAAGGATAGATAATTAATATGAAGAGCTCGCTCTTACCACTGTCACATTTCACTCCTCGCCAGCCAACGTCACAGTCACAGGAGCCATCTCCTGAGGGTCCTTGGCTGCATCTTCCGTGGACACAAGAACATACTAAATGGAAAAACACATGAAAATGATCAGACTCTGACCCATGTTCAACATTTCCTTTATCATTTCCCGAATGTACTTTCCTCCACCCCATCCTCTGACCTTCAAGGACTGGAGTCACAGGAAGGACTATGCACAGGACACATGGACGTAGGCAAACAGGCCAATTAGGTCACATTTCAACAAAATAGTTCATGCCACAGTTCGGAGACTGTGTGGCATTGCAGGTCTGTGACCCACACTGTGGCAGGTTGTCCTCAGCCCAGGTAGCCTTCTTCAGTGACATTGAACTGTTGGTTCTTTTGTTTTATAGCAGGATCCTAAACTTCTTTCAGAACTTGATGAAAGTATGAAAAAGCCATAGGGAAATCTACTATGTTGTAAGACAATTTAAAAATACTATTAAAAAAAGAGTTTGAAGGGAGATACCCTTCATGGCTGAGTAATGCCATGGGTTATTAAAGGGTAGCACCCACATTTAGGGTGTTTTATAGCAGGATCCTGAACTTCTTTCAGAACTTGATGAAAGTATGAAAAGCCATAGGGAAATCTGCTATGTTGTAAGACAATTTAAAAACACTATTAAAAAAGGAGTTTGAAGGGAGATACCCTTCATGGCTGAGTAATGCCATGGGTTATTAAACAAAAATCCCAGTGCCAATTGTGGGATAGTTCCTTATGAGCTGTTGGTCGCGGAGGTTCAAAGGCTCCCAAAACAATACAGAGTCTGAACATTCCTCTTACCTGCCCACCAGAACTAGATAATAAGAATTTACTGCTGAAGACACAATATACTTTGGTTACAAGATAGAAATCAAGCTGGAACTGGGCTGGAAGCTTCTTGCCTACTGGATAGCTTTCAGAATGCCAGAAGATGCTTTGCAATCTGATGGGGGTGAAAAGTTTTCAATGGTGTTACCTAGCTGGGAACCCTTTGAATACCAATCTGCAAGGCAAGATGTGACCACTAGTGCATCTAGTGGCCACTGTTATGGGGGTACCAACTGATTTCTGGTTGGATTTTAGGCCCACTCCACAGAAGGAACTCACACCTGTTATTGTAAACCTGGTCAGATCCCATGGTTAGGGAGGTCAAAGGTCCTAGAGGGGGAACCTACTACTGTTGCTTTGCCAAGTGGACACGGTATCAAATTGCCTTCTAAATAGGTTTAGACTCATAGATTACTGCTGTTCTCAGCCTTAGTCAGAGAACTAAACTAACTTACTAACTTCCTTCCTTCCTTCCTTCCTTCCTTCCGCTACTTCTAACTACTAGTATGAAATGGAAACTGGAAATGGGTGAGAAGGACTTGTTCCACTCCCCCCTCCTTCTTCCTTCTTCTCTCTTCCTCCCTCCTTCCCTCCTTCCCTTCCTCCCTCCTTTTCTCTTTCTTTCACAGTGGACAGTAGTTAATGCAGAGGCTCTTGCTGTTCTCGGCCTTAGTCAGAGAACTAAACTTCCTTCCTTCCTTCCTTCCTTCTTCCCTCTCTCCCTCCCTCCCCCCTTCTTCCTTCTCTCTTCCTCCCTCCTTCCCTCCTTCCCTTTCTCCCTCCTTTTCTCTTTCTTTCACAGTGGACAGTAGTTAATGCAGAGGCTCAGAGCTGGTTAAAGTGCTGAGAATGAGTGGCACAAGTGGCTATTGAGTGCTCAGTCCTGACTAGGACATCTATATTATCCCTCCAGGCCAGGGAACATTGCCGAGGAAGGAGTGAGAAGAGTACAAGAGCTGGAGGGTGTAAAGAATGCTGCAAAATGCGGTCTTCTAGGTATGACATGCTATGGCATCAATGAACTCACAGCAGCAGTACTACTTGGACAAGACCTGCACAAGACTGGGCGCCTCAACACTCCATCACTGATGGGGGAGTTACAAGAACTGGAGGGTGTAATGAATGCTGCAAAATGCGGTCTTCTAGGTATGACATGCTACGGTATCAATGAACTCACAGCAGCAGTACTACTTGGACAAGACCTGCACAAGACTGGGCCCATCAACACTCCATCACTGATGGGGGAGGGCCTCATAAGGCTTCACTCTTCCCCAAGGAACTATGGGTACGGGCAGTTAGAGGTTGGAGGAGGAGGAGGAGGAGTCACAGTTCTCAGCGTAGTCACTGGCACACTGCCCTTGCTCAGGTAAATACCCCCCCCACGCCATGTTCATGCAGGCAACACTAATTAGATGCAGTGACTCATAAAATAGACATGAAAATAGGAGGAAGAAGAAGGGGTAGTGGGAGAGGGAAGGGGATGAGAGGAACCTTGATGAGTCACAGTTCTCAGCGTAGCCACTGGCACACTGCCCTTGCTCAGGTAAATAACCCCCCCCCGCCATGTACCATGTTCATGCAGAAAACCCTAATTAGATGCAGTGACTCATAAAATAGACATGAAAATAAGAGGAAGAAGAAGGGGTAGTGGGAGAGGGAAGGGGATGAGAGGAACCTTGATGGTTCCTGTGCGGCTCAAGTAAGATCATTTGGACCAATCTGTTTTGGTTTTCAAGCTGCTGAGCAATGTCCATAATTCAACTTTAGTCATGGTGATTAACATATATAGGCAAATAGAGGAACATGGTTGGGTTGGGAATATCAGTGAACAGATTGGCGGTAGGTTGGTATGTTCAGGTCAGTGACTGGAAGTGTTCAAAATACTGCTCTCTATACAAATGTCACAATACAGTCTTTATTTTTTTTTAATTTTTAAAAATACCGTGGGTGTCTCTCTTGTAGCCCAAGCTGGTCTCAAACTGTGTCAATCATCTTGCCTCAGCCTCCTAACTGCTGGGATTACAGGTGTGAGCCACCATTCTGGATTCACAGAGGGTCATATAATTTGCAATAACAACGTCAGGAGGGATTGTTGCTGTCTGGGGAGAGACTGCGTAGGGAGACAAGACACTGTTGCGCTTTTTTTCTCACTGCATGCTACTGGCCAGTTTTGATTGCAGGAGCCCAGAGATGCAGGAGCATGGACCCGGGGCAAGGGACCAGGGGGCAAGAAGCAGGGGTCAGGGGAGGGGGTCAGGGGGAAGGGAGCCAAGGCTGGGAGGCGATGCTCACCTTGGTCACAGTGGATTCCATACTTGCCCTCTGTACAGGTTTCACAGGCTGTCCCGTTGAAGCCCTGCCCACACTCGCACAAGCCCGTGCCATTCACGCCATCCAGACAGATGCCATTCCCAGAGCACGTATTCTGACCTGTCCCAGGGCAGGCCTGGCACTGCGGGCCAAAGAAGCCGGCACAGCATGCTCTTGTCTGAAAAAGAAGGACTCGACTGGGCACATGCTTCTCTCTGCTCTGGGGACTCTGGGACTCTGAGCCTACCTGTTTCTTAGACCCCAGAGCTTGTGAGGGGTGTGGACAGAGCCCTCGGAGGCCTGGATGGGGCTCAGCAATTTCCCAGGTCACTTGCTAGTCACCCAAGGTTGGGAAGAGGGAAAATCCAAAGGTAAGTAAGTGATGAGGAGGAAGAAAGCAGAGGATGGGCGGCAGGAACAAAGCAAGGAACCACACACATAAGCCTGGTGTGGTGGTACATGCCTGCAATCCTAGTGCTTGGGAGGCTGTGGAAGGATGGCCAGTGTGTGGACAGCCTGGGGAGGCTCTGCCTCAAACAACAGCCCCCATCCTACCCTTTTTTAAAACAGGGTTTCACATAGCTTAGGCTGGCCTTGAACTTCTGATCATCTTCCCCTATCTCCTGAGTGTTAGGATTATAGGCTGGTGCTCCTGAACAGCTCCAAACAAGAAAGAATAACGCATCAGATGCTAGAGGAGTGGTAGAACCAACAGGCTGTCAGCATCCCCACCCAGGGATCCTTCTCAATGGATGTTATTTCATTTACTACAGGCCTGGATCCCTTTGTCATTTTATGAGTCTTTCACAGTTCAGGGAAGGCCTGTAGGTCTGTTTGGCTTTGGTCTGCCTTTATTCTCAAGTACATTAAAACTCCAAACCTCTTCTAATCCAATACTCTGCAGCTTAAACCCCAACCCCCTTGAAGGAAGAGGTCCCATTCTCTGAGGAAGAAGAAGGACAGGAAGTCATAAGGAACTTTCTGGAAAATTCTGACATGACATCCAAAGATACTGGGTTCTTGGGGTCCCATTTTCTGAATGACTAAAGAGTCCTGGTCTCCCCTTAGTGACTTCCTTTGTCTCTTCCTTAATTAGGTTTAATTGTACAGGCACCTGTGTGTGTGTGTGGTGGGGCTCTTCACCTCTCAGACCCTCAATTTCTTCCTTCCAAAATGGGATGCTTTGGTTTTTACCCATTTCTGATTTGCAGGCTTTTTTGTTTTCTTGTTATCACTACTACTTGGGTGACGATGGTGAAGATTAGGAGGAGGAAGAACAGCTGCAGACGCATTCTGAAAAGTCTAGCTATGATTGAGTTTCCCAGCATTACTTAGGATGGCTAGATCATACTCACAATGACAGTTTTTACACACTTGGTCTGGCACCCAATGAATGCGGATCTCCTCCCCATGAAATAAATGGTGTAGATGCATTTCCTCATTTCATCACCCTATGAAATAGTAAGGAGGTCAGCAGCCCTTCCTGAGGAAAGTGGATTTCATATTTCTGTAAATAGGGAAGTGGGTGGGGCTTTTCTCTCCTAGAAAGGAAGGCTGCAGCTGCTTGGTGCTGCTTCATAAGCTAGAAAACAAACAAAACCTCACAGTGTTGACTGCAGCATGCCAGGTGGAAAATCCAAACAGTTCCACTGTAAAGAAGTGTTCTAGGAGAAGAACATGTCTCTAGAAGACCAAGTCAATTTGGGAATAACTGAAAAGTAAAGCAGATAAAAATGTCCTTCCAGCCCAGTGTATTCATTAAGTTTGAGCTTCAACATGGGAATTGACTTATATTCTGTCCAGTCTAAGAAATAATTGCTTGCTCATAAAGATTTATAGTACAAGATCAAATTAAAACTCAAGTGAGAAATTCAGTATTTTTAAACTTATTTTAAAATGCTTTATATAAATTCTTATGATGGACCTGAGAGTTGTAGGGTTAATCAAAATCATTGATTTGGACACCCCAGAATACTCATCGTTGGTCTCATTATTCATTTTTTTTTACCACAGATTATTATAATTATGGTACGGAAGGCACACAAGTGCTTATTCTTTGTAATGGTTGTTAGCAGAAGTGGCTCTCAGAGAAAAGAAGCTACGGGTAACATAGAGCGGTAATTAATTCAAAGATGTTTGCTTCTCTCATATTTGCATCTGTTTCTTTGAGAGTCACTTGTAACTTCAATTATGAAAAGAAACCAGGCGGGTAGCATGTATTGGGGTGGGCTCTGGTTTGGGACAGGGAGTCTGTTTTCTCTGATAAAGCATCTTGCTGCTGTCCTTCACTAGTGAGTATAAAAGATGCAGAAAGTGAAAAAAATACCATCTTGTATTGCATGTTGGTTTATGGGCTCATTTCTATTTAGTCATTAATTGAATTTTACCTTGGTTCCTCAAAAATGCATATAAGACTACAAAGACGCATCCCTTAGGGAGAAGGGTTGTGAAATACTGTCTTCTGGGAATGACACAGCTAGTGTAATTAGGATCTCACAGCAGCTGTGGTTGCCTGCACTGAGCCTACCTACAACAGTCAGTCACAGATGGGAGGAGCCCATGGACCGTATCTCTTTTGGGGGAACTATTGGTTATAATGGATGCTGGGAGAAGAGGAGTCCTTGTCTTTAGGTGTATATCCAGGGCTGAGCCCACCAGGGACCTATGGGTAATTCCACATCCATGTACATAGACAGCCCTGGCTAAACTCAGTGGCTTACAAAACAAAACAAAACGACATGAAGATAGGAAAGGGACTTGTAGGAGGAGGGGCGTTGACAAGGGTGTGGGGGGGTATGAGTAATCAGAATGTATTATATACATGTATGAAACTGCCAAATAAATTTTATGGAAATAAAAGTAAAATTTAGAAGATGAAAAGGAGGAAGTGAGCAGAGCACAAGCACTCATTGCTCTCCACTTCCTGACTGGGTGCAGTGTGACCAGCTGCCTCTAGCGCCTGCTTCTGTGTATTCCCTGCCGTGATGGATTGTGACCTTGAACTGTGAGCCAAATAAACACTTTCTCTCTTTTATAAAAAGAGGTACATACTATATAATAAAGTAGAATTAATACCTAAGGAGGGAAGGAAGGCAGTGAAACTGAGGTGTGCTTGTGATTTGCTTTCTAATTTGGGTGCCTTCTTATTTGGAGATTATTTTACCAAAGATGGGAAAAAAATTACTTACGAGTGGTTTAGTTCCGAGTGGGCAGACTGCTTGCTGGGGACACTTCCCACACTTTCCCTTGGTAAATGCAGAAACAAATAGGATATTCCAAGGTTATTAATTTTAATACAAAATGAAGCTGTGAATATGAGCCCAAAGCTGTGGGTTTTAGAATGCAGAACTGGGAATCAGTTCTGGGAACTGGGAACATCTGCTCAACGTCTTTAACACTGTTTGAGACAAACACTTCACTTCAGGTCTTGCATGCCTGAACATTGCTTTTTCCTTACAATAGTCCTGACTCTAATAACCCTTTAACACATGGAAGTCTTTACTCACTTAAATCTGAATTGCTTTAGCAGCTACTCCACTTATTGATCTACTGGAACCTCTGTTTAGTGGGTCAGAGGCAGAGATTAACAATGTGTCATACACAGTGCCCACCTTGGGGGCATGTGGTCTTGCTGATGGCAGCAGACATCTGTGCTACTCCACAGAAATAGCACATACAAAGAGCTAAAGTTAAGAATGGCACAAACTCTTGCATGTTATCTAAAATAGAAGGAGGTCAACGTGTCTAGTTTTTAGCTTGGTATCTGCTTGACAGTGTAGTGTCACTGTTGAGAGTTCTGTTTCTAGGGCCACGCTACCTGGATTTGAACCTCTTCTCTGCCATTGCTAATGAATGAATAAAGATGCATTATCTAACCTTTTTGTGGCTTATTTTCCCTCCTGTAAAATGGGAATAGTCATAGTACTTATGTTTTAGGGTACTGTGAGGATTAAATGGGTTAATACAAGTAAAACGTTTAGAGCAATACCAGGTGCATATCTATTACCTAATAGATATCAGCAGCTGGGGCTGGAGAGATAACTCAGTGGTTAAGAGCACCGGCTACTCTTGCAGAGGACCCAGGTGCACTTACAGGCATGCAGGCAACACACTCATTCACATAAAATAATAAAAAATACCAGCAGTTGTTACTATTTCTAAAAGACCCTACACTGTCTCACAGACTGCCGTGGAAAGCTTTCATTATTGCACGACATGTTACACTGAATTCATCCATTTCCATACTCCTCATCTAGTAAATCAGGCTTAGCCAATGCCTGCCAGAGGCGCACCAGGAACCCCTCACTGGCATGATTTCCTTTTGCAAAGGAGCCGAGGCTTCAGAATCCCACTCTTTCCTCAACACAGTCCTCCAGATAACCTTTCCCAGGCATACCAAGTACATTCTATCACATTAGGCGATAAGCCCATTGAACACTGGGACGTGGAACATTGGGATGTGTTTTACTGGGCTGTAAAGTGTAGCCTGATTTTGGTACATTGGATATTCACTGAGTAAAAATTTTTTTTTTTTTAGTACTGGTGATTGAACCCAGAGCCTCATCCACACTAGGCAAATGCTCTACACAGAGCTACGTCCCAGTTGTAATAACGGAGTTTTGGGATTAAACTGAGAATACTCTAACAGAAAAATTATTAAGCTTAAAAATTACTTTAAAACAAACCATCAACCATTATTCTCATTGGTCCTAGATACAACTTACTCGTAAAATAGTGGTGTCATTTTTGTCACATCTATTCTTCTGAATTTCCAGAACTTTCCCCAGGCCATGGATCACTCCTTTATCAGTGGCTACATTTGTGTAGTTTATTGGAGCTTCATTTACATATAGCTGTGAACAATAAAATCAAATATGACTTTATTAAGGTGGCATGAGGGGAGACATGGAGGCTCTCATTATGACAACAGCCCAATTTAGTTTACCTAGAAAATAGAACATTGTGTGGATAAAGCTCTAGCTTGGAGAGGGGAGGCTGAGTCATAACCCTGCATCTGGTACCATGTATCTGAGTGATATGGGGCCAACTGCTTCCCCTCTCTGAACCTCAACATTTCCTTTTGTAAAAGGAACAGTTTGTTCTAGATAATACGTAGTGTATTTCTCTATCATCTCTCAAATTAATTGGTTTATGTTTGTTTGAAAATTACTGCCTTATGATTCTTATGCTCATGCCCATAGGCAAGCTGGCCATATGGACATGCTCAGTTGTCTTGTGGTTTGGTAGTCCACAAGGTGTGGATGCCTCTCATAACCAAGACACAACACAACTTATCCTTTCAGCACATCTCTATCCCTGGCTAATTTGCAGGGAACTCTCCAGGAAGTTAAATGACAATGAGGCAGAGAGAGGAAGACTTATTATACTAAGTAGAAAATGTGTTAGTCTTCAATAAGGACTTTAAATTCATAAAATAATACATTAGGGGGCAGAAGAGATGGCTCAGTGGTTAAGAGCCCTGGCTGCTCTTGTAGTGGACCCAGGTTTGAATCCCAGCACCTACATGGCAGTTAACAACTGTCGTAACTCCAGTTCCAGGGGATTTAACATCCTCTTCTTACCTCTATGGATGCACTTACATACATACAAACAATTCACTCATACACATAAAAATAATAAAATAAAATATGAAAAAATATATTGGACAGTATCATCAACACTTTCTACTGTAGCAATATTAAAAACGACCCTATTAAGAGCTTACATTTGAATTGCCCCTGAATACTACAGTCTCAGATGACTGGCTTGCAGTGAAGTGGATTTCTGTTTGGATGTTGGGATAAGTCATGACTGAGCTCAGACTGGTATCTTGTGGTCAGTGTACATTCAGAAAATCATTAGGAAAAGCATTTGATCTCAAATGGTGGGCATAGCACAAATTTCTAGAATTCGAAGGTGTGAGCCATTTTTGAATATCCAAACAGCAGAATATTTGATGTAATTCTTCTTAATTTGGCATTTAAAGAGTCTGAATCATTTCCATCATGAGATGTATCCAGAGAATTATGGGTTGCATTTGAAATTTGTTATAAACACATCTACTCAATTAGAAAGTACTTTCCCTCCTCTTCCATTGTTGTGAGAGAAAGTGAACGACTCTCAGTAAGAGCAAAGATTCTATTGTGTGCATAGTACTTGCTCTAAATCAGATAATTTCTAGACTAATGGAAATGAACATCATAGCACTGAAAACTGATTCAATTAGCAACATTCAAATATTCATCTCTACATGATGAAGTAAAGATGATAGATGAAAAACAAAAAAATGAAAGCTCCCTATCAATAAGGAAATTTCCAACTCTGGAAATAAAAAAAAGCGTTTAAAAGGAAAATGTATTTAGCTAGACTCCTAATTCCCCAGATGAAGTCAGAGAAAAATATTTGAAATAAGAGTCTCCAAGTAATGAAGAAAGGAACAGATAGATCCACTTTAAAAATTCTCTAGTTTATGACCTCCTCCATCGGGGTAGCTGCTGGGAACTTAGCAGACCGCCAGAGTGTGCTGGGTTCTGGCCTCTCTCTGGCCTCCAACTACCAGAGGGCCTGAAAACCCAGGGGACAGCCTGACAGCCCCCAGATCCTGCCTCCCTGTGGTGGTGAGCTTCCCCTAACTGCACCATACCATCCCCCAACCTGGGATTTTGTGAGGCCCCTCCCAAGGCTCCAGGGCAGATCTGCCTTTGGTAGGCTAAAGCTGAGATCCTAGCAGACAGCCTGAGAGGGTGGGTTAGGACCTCCATCTGGGTAGCTGTTGGGAGTTTAGCAGACCACCAGAGAGTGCTGGGTTCTGGCCTACCTCTGGCCTCCAACTACCAGAGGGCCTGAGAACCCAGGGGACACCCAACCTGGGATTTTGTGAGGGCCCTCCCAAGGCCCCAGCGCAGATCTGCCTTTGGAAGGGTAAGGCTTGGATCTCTGCAGACCACCAGAGAGTTCAGGTTCCCCTCCGGCCTCCTTCTGGCATAGGGTTGACAACACACAGGACTGCCTGAGAGAGCCTGGATCCTGCCTCCACATGGTGAAGGAAGCCTGAGTATACCTGACTAGAACCTGAACTGGGCTTCTGTGGATATCCTTGAATAGCTGATCTGAAGCCATCAGTTCCCTCCAAAATAAAACTGAGAAAACATGAACCCTGTACCAACCAGCTTTACATAACCAATAAAGAAAGGATCTAGGCACCTGGATAATACAAACAGAAGCATACTT